GGTAAGGCGTAGGTTTCATAATGTTAGGATCATGCGTTCGAATCTCGGTTGCGGCGGTCAATTTTTAAGTTAATTAATTAGGTTTTTTCAAAGATTAATTTATTAGGGAATGATAAATAGAGGCAAAATTGACTTGTATCTACAATAAAAAACTAATTATTTCATTTTTGCCTCTATTTTAATCATCAATTGCTAGATAAGTTGAAGGATTGGTTAAGGATTGGATCCTAGGCTCGGCTTGGATTTTACGTTCAAGTTTGAATCAAGGTTGGTCCAAGTTTGGCCCAGGCCTGGACTACCTTCATTTTAGCATCTTGGCTCAACCTTGGATCGAATTCGACGTCCAAGCTTGAACTACCGTTACAAACCAAGGAATAACCAAGGTTGGTACAATCTTGAATTCCAAGCTTGAGCCAAGCTAGGTTAGGCTTGGTCCAAGCTTGGCCCAAGCTCGGACCAATGGTTAATCCCCACCTGGGATGTCCGTTTCAAGTTTTAAATATAAAATTGAAAAATTAAAATTAGCAATGAAAAACATTGGCGAATATATTTCAGAAATGGTTTTCGGCCATTATTATGCTCCCCCAAATATTGCAACTTTAAATATATAATATAAAAATTTTCCACGGTTTCATTATATTGCATCATATAAATCACTTTTACCATTAAATATCATCATTCATCGAAAATCTTGGGCACACTTGTCATTAATCAGGGGCAATTCCAGTTCCATTCTTCGCTACTTCCATTAGTAATGAAAACGGAAAATCAATAAATTTTTATTGATTTTTGCCATAACTTAGAATTGCACGAGTATTGTTCACATTCCTCCAAAATCCGTAGAGGCAGTCAGTCTCAGTGAACTCATTCTTAATTGCTAAAGGCTTTCTCAGCCCTGTTCGCATCGTCAGCCTTTAGAATTCTTATCGGAGTTATATTTATTTACTCAACAACGACTATAAAGTTATCCACCGCAGAATTTTGGGACAATTGTTCTATTCAATTTATCTATTGAATTGCTCCAAATATCATCTGGACATAACAAAATTGTCGAAGGTGACTCCTCATCCTGTAGGCATTAAAAAAATTTTCTCCCCATATTACCATCAATATTACCAAGGAGGGAGGCAAATCAAATTACAGCAGATAGCCTCGTTAAGTAGACGAGACCCATCTCCCCGCTCTCACTAACGATGCTCGGGAGTCGAGTGAGTCGGATGAGCTCAGGTTGCGCCCAAATATGGTCACTTGAAACAGTCTGGCCTGGCTGAACACTGAACGAACATTGGGCATACCATTCAGTACGAGTATTCTAGAATATTGGCGAAATCCCAAGGATAATTACTTATTATTATGGCTTATTAAGTTCTACGATAACAAATTTTAATAAAATCATGATATGGCATTACCAAGCGATTTGGTAGGAATAAAACATAGTGAGAAAGGTAAAGGCAAATAATACTAACAAAATAAAATAAATGTAATACATAATAGAATTGAGCCTTGAAAGGTGTGAATAGACTATAACTAATAATTCCGTTAACGAAAAAAAAAGTTAGCAGGACAATGATGCCGCATGAAAACAGATGAATTGCAGCTATTTGTAACCGATTATTTAAATACTCCGCAGTTATTAATGAAAGTTTCGAATTTTATATTACCTCTTGTCAATAACAAAGGAATCATGGTATTGAGGAAGATAATCTCATCCCATGAAGTATTCTGGTCCCTTTTGCGAAATTCTCGCGTGGCACAATTTATTATCGCCCCAGCTCACTAACATACTCGGAGTTTTTACTTATCATTCATTACATACAATTGTCACCAGACTGTAAAACTTTGACGAACTTATAATAGATTTACTTTTCTCGGGAAATTACGTTTGCGTATTACGATGTATATTTTGAAAAGTGGTTAATCTAGAGATAGACATTTCAGGAATTACGCCCCAATAATTTTTTTTCGTGAATAATGCATTACTCCGCATTTTCTAGGGTAAGAAAGGAACGGTTAATCTGCTCGGCATAATATAATACAATGAACATAAATATAATTGACGATAATAGAAGTATGTCAGAGCCATATGGTCGAATTAGTGACTTACTTGCTTATGTATCGGGGTAGTATAGCCATCATTTGTTCTCTCGAAACGTTCAAACTTGAAACTATTGCTGCGATAAAGTTCATTATCACTTTGTTGACGTCTACATAATCGTCGTCTTAAAGCACGCGGCTTGCACGGTGTGCACTCAGATGCCAGTTCCCAATGAAGTCCATGCATAGCAAGTTCAGCAGTGCATCTCGCCATTGCACATCCTGCCTGTCTTACGCGATATTGAACGCAGCTTATACGTCCTTTCATTGATTGAGTATGAATACATGGTCGATTGGGACAATCACACGTGTGTCCTGAATGGCGTGATTTTCTTTCCTGCTCACAATTCTTTGCATCACATGCACAATGCTCTCTGTCAGTAGTCCGGATTATGCACTTGCATTGTTCACTTGCCCTAATTCTGTTTTCATGCGGTAGGTGAAACGACGAGCTTCCAGGATGCAGCGGGCAGACGACTATCCCGGCCACGTGACGGCACGGGCGTTCTAGACAATCGCATCTGGAAATTTATTGATTTTGGTGAGCTCCATAATGTTTCTCATACAAAAATAGGCAGCAATTCAGAAATCTATTACTAAAGTTCGGAAAACGGGAATAATCGATCAAATAGTAATCAAATAGACCCATTTCTTACATTATCATTGAGTATTTTTATAAACGATGCGTTATCACGAAATCATGGAAAAAATGCTTAGCAAAATTGTTAGTTGAAGAATCATAAAAAAATATTTTTAATTGTACATAATTTGATTTCACACTACATCCTAATATTGAATATTGAAAAATGTATAATCATTGAGTAAATGTCGTAATACCCGAAATTTCGAATTATTAGGTAGCACAAATGAATTTTTAATTTATTCTTATAAACCGTTGAAGTCGAGGAGTATCAGGATACGACGGTAGCTCAAAAGAACAGTCACTGTTCACTCTAGTCACTGTACATCGGAGTTTTATCAGAACTGGACGCGCGAGACAAGGTTATACTTCACATGTACAGGCGGTTGATTGTGAACTGCGGTATGTTCTATCGTTAGCTTTACCTACTTTCTTATTATATAGGTTTACATACAATTGCAAGGACTGCGCATCCCAGTCCCTACTTGTGGCATCATCCCGCCGGCGCGCGCCCTGTACTCGTCTCCACATCCTCTCCATACGGATGCTGCTGTGCCACTGATACAAAATGTTTAACCCCAGCATCGTGGCCCTCTACTCGGTGTGCTTTGTTTTTTTTTCAGAATACGTTCGCCAGGATTCAGCTTTCAATAGATTTGATGAAATTCACTCTTATTTGCTTTATGTTTTCCACTTGAACATTTTTCAAGTAATTTCAATCTGACTCAATCAGTGGAAAAAAATATTACGCGAATTTTTCCTTCAGTTTAATATTAATACGACCATAATCTATATCTAGCACTACCATAAACGATAGTAGAACTTGAAATAAAATCATCCAAAACACCCCTACTTTCCCCGAGAAATAAATATGTGGCTTATTCATTGTAATGTTCCCTTTTTACAGTTTTCTCCCCATGATATAACTAAATATTCTCTATTACGGTATTGACTTTTCGACATAAATTCATTGCACGGGGTCTAGGACAATGTCTTGAAGTTCAATATTTCTTTTATGTTAATTCGCTTTGAACTTCACTAATGTTTTCGTTTTGTTTAAAATATTTTGAAATTGTGCTGATATTTCGTAAAGAGATGAACGAAGCATAAAAAACAGTTGAAAAAGGAATAAATAAATTACGAATGAGGATGTTCTAGGAAAAATATATCAAAAGGTCATAGTTATTATAAAAAAGCCATTAACAATTTTAAAAAAAGATCGAAAAGCAGGTGAATAAACAGGGAAAAACGATTTACAAATAGACCAGAAAAATATGAGAAAAGGACATCGATATTACACAGACAGAAAAATTCAATAAAAAAGACGTGCCTGTTCCGTAATCTGTCAGTCAACAGTATTCAGTAAAAATTACCGAACAGTTACAGAATATTTACTGAATACTATTTTGACTGACAAATTACGGAACAAGCAGGTAGTTTTCATTTACTTTTTCTCTCTATGTACAAAAATAATGTGATGAAAATGGAGTATGAAAAAATATGAAAAATATATGAAAAATCGCTTGACTTCAGATTCTGTTAGAAACATTGTTTTTCAATGAACATTGTTAATTAAAAAAATAAATAAAACGAAAATTTGGATGCCTTTTGTATAATAAACTATATCCTTTTCATATATTTTTCCTATCCTTTTCTAATGGGGAATTTTAGTATTTCTCCACATTTCTCGCTCTCCGCAATCACCAAAATTAGTGTTTCGAATGAGGCGTGTGTGTAAATTTTTGTCCAACAATATCGCTTCGTTGCGTTTTGACGTAACTTACAACTGATTAGTTGATAAAGACGGTTGACTCAGCAATTTTTGAGTTATGCGCATAAACCCAAGTAGGCTTTACCAAGTGAACAGACTTTTTTTACATTTTAGTTGTCATGTCAGCTTCAAAAATAAATAAAAAGGTGATGGGAAGGGAAATTTCAAATTTTCCAGTTTCGATTAATTTCCCTGCTTTCTCTTTTCTTCAGTGACATTTCTGCTCTTTTTCTGAGTCGTAAAAACCCATCACTGTATGTAATGGGCTCTCGCCTACCCTTTGTCATGGTCTAATAGAGGTCAGAAGCACAACTTGCTCTCAGTAAATTGAAAACAGAATTTCATTCATTGACAAAAAAAATAGGTGGAGTTAAATCTATGTCTCCGACGCGTAGAACCCATTGAAGTGTCGGTGGTTTCACTTTTGGCCTTACCGTGAAACTAAAATGAGACGGAACAAGCCTACTCATTTCGCCAGTAACAATTATTTTTTTTAATCCTTGTATTGAATTGAGAAATATTTAGATACAGTACACCGGAGCGAATCTTGAACAAAATTGACTCAACTGTTTTCCAATTTTTCCGATTCTTTTTTCCATTAAACGGATAGATAGCATTTAGAACTCATTAGCTCATGAAAATTATCTCCTCAGCAATCATTTTTAACAAAAATGATAAAAGACAAAATGTCTCAGCAGTTGTTCAGATATTTTTTCTCTTATCTAAGCTTTGTACTTAATACCATCTTATCTAAGCTTTGTACTTAATACCATGAGGTATTTGAGACTTTTTAGTTAATCGAAATGATTACCTGAACAATTTTGTTGACAAATGGTCAGCAAGTTATTGGTTCGACGTCAAATGGATCGCACCCTCTATAAAGCAGCCTCAACAGTCACGCACGTCCCCATTGTTTTAGAAAGTTGTTTTCTGACCATTTTTGAAACATTTTTGGGATTAAAAGAAATTCTAATTATTAACTTCCCGTTCTATATCAATATGGAAATTTTCAACATATCTTCACGTTGCAAGGCCTCCAGAGTAATTCTGGACAATTTCGAGAGGATGTATGTATGTATGTATGTATGTGTGTGTGTGTGTGTGCGTGTGTGTGTGTGTG